ATTGTGGTGTAGCATACTTAACATTGATATGCAGAGTTCAGCTCAATGAGTTTTGTGACAGATATTTATACATCCATGGACCCACTACCTGGATCCAATGGTCAGATGCCTCCAGAATTCCAGATGGTTCTCTTGTGCCTCTTCCAGATCAATGCCATCCCTCCCTCCCACACGTAACCAGTATTCTGGCTACTACCACCATTTATGTAGTGTTTCCATCATTGTGAGGTTTTGCTGTTGGTCAGCCATATTCACCATTTAAAAAATCATTTTATTTACATATAGTAAATGTCACCTTTTTAGTACAGTGGGGCCTTGACTTACGAGTGTCCTGACTAACAAATTTTTTGAGATACCAGCTGTCTCTCCACCGATTTTTTGCATTGAGTTGATAGAGTAATTTGAGTTAATGAGCTCCTTAACGAGCTCGGTCTCTGAAGGAATTAAACTCGTAAGTCAAGGCCCCACTGTACTCAGTTCTGCAAGTTTTGACAGGTGCATGCACTCATGTAGCTACTACCACAGTCAAGGCATAAAACAATTCTGTCACTCAAAAATATGCCCCATGATCTTCATAGTCCCCACCCTCAGTCCCTGGCCACCACTGACTTGTTTGTTTTCTGTCCCCATAGTTTTGCCTTTTCCAGCTTCACTGTGTTTTTAATGAGAATTGCAGGTGGGTGATAGGCACGTTTAAGACAAGGGAATGGATGACTGAGAAATTCTCAGGCATCCAAGAACTTGCTACCCAGAGTCGGGCTGCAGTGGTGACAGCTTTCTTGGCCTGTCTCATGGGTGCTGGTTCTTTCTGCACCCTTTCTGAGGACCTGCTGGGATGCAGACCATGAGGCTGCCCTTAGCCCTGAGCCATGAGCACTCTCCCAAGACACCAAAGCACTGGAACCCAGGGCTCCATGTGACTGCCTGGGTCACACACAAGGGAACCCAACCCCAGTGCAGACACAAATATCACTACTGTTTAGCAAGAAATTGGCCCTAACCGGTTTGGCTCAGTGGATAGAGCGTCAGCCTGCGGACTCAAGGGTCACAGGTTCGATTCCGGCCAAGGGCATGTGCCTTGGTTGTGGGCACATCCCCAGTAGGGAGTATGCAGGAGGCAGCTGATCGATGTTTCTCTCTTCTTCGATGTTTCTAACTCTCTATCCCTCTCCCTTCCTCTCTGTAAAAAATCAATAAAATACATTTTAAAAAAACAAAAAGAAATTGGCAAACTGAAGGGTGGCTCAGACCTGCTCACTGTTCGGACTTGGAGTTGAGGGGAAGTGTGCCCGTGGGCCACCATCCTGCCATGTGGACATGGCTGTCACAGGAAAGAATGAACATCCTGGCTTCGAGGTGGCCACTGTCCAGGTTGTAGGAGTGTGGGACTGTCTGCTCAGGATTTCTGTCTCTACAGCATCATTCCTACAGCCAGATTTTCCTGAACTTTGGCCCAAGGAGGGAGTAGGGCAGTTTCTCTTCTCCAGGGTTAGGGGCTGACTTGCTGGAGCCAGGAGAGAAACTGAGCAGGCTTCTGGCAGGGCCATGACAGGAGTGCACGACTCTGGCTTCCCTTGGGAGCAGGGTGGAGCAAGCTAACTCTCCCTTCCCTCTGATGGAAGGTAGCAGGGTGAAACTAGAGAGAGAAAATGGAGAAGGCAGCGTCAGGTTGCAACTTGGCTCTGGAGGCTGCAAGACGAGGCCCTTCTTCCTGCAGCATTCCTGGAAAGTTTGCCGCTGGCCCTGCGTACCATGCATTCCCTGGCTGCTGAGCCTGCTGGGGATATGGCGGCTCTGATTACCAGCCCGGTGGATGCTAGCAGCGAGGCCTTCAATATGGCAGAGGACTCCATAGATCAGTGATGGCGAACCTTTTGAGCTCGGCGTGTCAGCATTTTGAAAAACTCTAACTTAACTCTGGTGCCGTGTCACATATAGAAATTTTTTGATATTTGCAACCATAGTAAAACAAAGACTTATGTTTTTGATATTTATTTTATATATTTAAATGCCATTTAACAAAGAAAAATCAACCAAAAAAAATGAGTTCGCGTGTCACCTCTGACACACGTGTCATAGGTTCGCCATCACTGCCATAGATGCCAGGCCAGACTGTGGACAGTTGGGGTGTGCAAATATGGGGCTGAGGAAAATAGAGTCTTCACCTTTCAATTCTTAGTGACTCTATCTGGAGAATGTGATGGGGCACATGTGAGGATCAGAGGGATTAAAATGTGCCAGGGGCCTGGAGCCCACCAAAGGTACTCAGAAGTGCCACTTACTATCATCATCATCATCAATGTTCCCTCTCCTTAGACAAAACTCTGTTTCTTGATCCTGTTATATTCCCACACATACTGCAGCAATTGGCTCAACTAACTAAATTCAATAAATTTTACTTTTTTAAAATGTTCAATTAAAAACACCTCAGTAAAATCCACCACTGAACATTCAAGAATCCTTATAAAGTAAAATGATATCATTCTAAGCAACTATACTGCTTTTTAGGATTATATCAAATAGCAGTTTTAAATGTCCATAAAATCCTGGCTTTTTCTCTTTTCAACAACTGGACCGTGACTCGAAGGAAAAAGCCCAAACTCTGATGCTTGGGTATGTTTTACGACTGGGATTCAGCTTTTATTTAATTTCTTTTTAAAAATATGTTCCCTTTGGTCAAGACGAAGTTGGCTTTGTTTTACGGAACTGTAAACAGACGCCAGGGTTTTTCCTGGAGATGTCCCAGAACTCGAGGGGTGGACACTGGTTCTCATCCATCCCAGGCTGAAGAGCCCCCAAACCACTCCGAGAGGTGGGCACTTAACATGACTTCAAATCTCCAGGCTTCACTGTTTGGGGGCTGGGCCAATCTGTGGTCATATGGTCTTTCTTTTTCTTTTTCTTTTTTCTTTCTTTTTTTCTTTACCCTCACCTGAGGATATTTTTTCCATTGATTTTCAGACAGAGTGAAAGAGAGAGAGGAGAGGGCAGGGAGAGAAAGAGAGAGAGAAGTGACCCTTCGGTCCGCAGGCCAACGCTCTAACCACTGAGCAATTGGCCAGGGTGATCATATGGTCTTGGGTGCCCCTCTCTCCACGTGCTCCTTATTCCTCACCAGTCAGAGTGTGATTAAAATGGGAAAAAAATAAATGAAACATTGTGGGAGAAAGTAGTTAGAAAACTAAGAATGACACAGACTAGGAATCCTGGAATCTTTATTTTCCATGTGTTTTTCATCCTCAGAGACTCTTCAGAAGGGAAAGATGGGTGTGTTTTAAGCCTTCTGCTCCACCCACAGGGCTGTGCCTCCAGCAGGAAAAAGGAATTTACACTATTCGAATGCTCTCCCATTGACCTCACTTAATTCCATTTGCAGGATGGGGCAGGGCCTACTATGTGCCTTCAAAGATGCAGAAACTGAGGCCCAGGTTCTCTGGGTCCTCACGCAGAAGCAAATCGGTGCTAAGCTGTCCTTCAGCTGCTAGTCCCATGTGTAGTGACTCTAAATCTAGGGAGATTTTTTTCCTCCAAAGGGACACTTGGTAATGTCCAGGGATGGTTATGAGTGTCACAATTCAGGGGAGTGGGTGTGTGCTCCTGGCATCTAGCTGGTGGAGGCCAGGGACACTGCACAGGACACCCTTCCAACACACACTTATCCAGTATATCACCAGTGCCCATGGCTGGAAACCCTTTGCTAGAATAATTGAGAAAGTAGCAGAGTGAAGAGCATTTCTAACACCGTGTGTGTGTGTGTGTGTGTGTGTGTGTGTGTGTGTGTGTGTGTAGGAGAGAAATATGAGCTCAGAGGCCGAAAGGGTATGCTAGGCTCTTGCTACTCAAAGTGTTGTCCTTGGACAACCATCAGCCAGGAGTGTTAGAAATGCAGGCACTCGGGTCCCACCCCAGACTTACTGAGTCAGAACCTGCCTTTTAACAAGATTCCAGGTGATTCATGCGCTCATGATTCATGAAGCTGAGAAGGACAGGCTCTGGTTCATCCCAGACCGGACAGCCTCCAACCCTGCCCCGAGGGATGGGCATTTAACTGGGCCTTACATCTCACCAAGGGCCTGTCCCCAAATCCCCATTGCCCACTGGGGGTTTCGGGGACTGCCGGTCTCCCTCAAATATGACCTGCCCTTCCTTTGATTTCTACGTGCTGGGGGAGGAAGGGCACCTCTGGTCAAGTTTATTATAACCTTTCCCGTTTTCCTCCCTGCCCCGTCCCCTCTCCACAGGCCTACACCCTGCTGGGACAGTTTCTTCTGATGCACAAGAACGAAATGGAGTTTCAGAGATGGCTCATTTGTTGTTGTGGTGCCACAGAGCGTGAGGCCCAGGAGAGCACTATCTGCCTGAAGGAGTGGTGCTCCTGCTTCCTCTGAACACACCCCCTTGCTCAGCCGCCTGCGTAATGACACGTCCTGTACCTAGGCCCAGGCTCAGAGTCGTTATTTTTGTTTTTAGCCTTAACGATACATGCTTGTTTACAAAAAGTGATTCACGAATATAAAAAAGGACAAATACAAGAAAATGACCCAAAGACCACAACCTAGAAGTGACTATCATTCCCCTTACATCCTGACAGATATCTCAGCATATATTTTATATAAAAGAATGAACAATTTTGCTTAAAAAATGGGAATTTTGTCAGTGTATTAGTTATCTATTGCTGCATAACAAATAAACCCTAAACATAGTAGCTGAAACAATAAGTTTATCTCACATAGTTTCTGAGGGTCAGGAATTATACAACAGGTTGATTTCATTGACCAAGTCACATGGTCATACCTAACTCCAAAGGGGCAAGGATTCTTCTGAACTCAGAAAAAGTGGAAATATATCATGACACCAATACTCAAGTAAGGTCGTTATTTTTTCCCTGAATGCCTCATGGCTGTTATATCTCCTACGTGTATAATATGACTGGGATATTTCTATTAGGGTCTTTTTTTTAACTCTCTAGCTTTGCTTCTTTAGCTCTCCCCCAAAAAGAGGCCAAAGAGAAGGATTCCAGGTGAGCCAACTGGTTGGCCCAAAGATTTGAATAGCTCTATCTACTGAGAGCTCAGGTTCTGACCGTCCAGAGCCTTTCCCCTGCTGCCTCCTGCACAGAGTAGTTCTCCACTAAAATAGTCATGGGATTGGAAGTCACTCCATTTCTCAGACAGGACTGGTTGGCAGTAGGGAAAGGAGAGAGGGAAGTAGTTTGTCCCTCACTCTATTTTCACATACGTGGCTCCTCAAAATCTCCCTCACAGACACTGGGAATGTTTCCCGTCAGCTATTCACTTCCTTGTGTCAATTTTTGTCTTCTTTGTAGATAAAGTTATTGTTCCAATTCTTCAATTCTCCCTGTGTGCCCCACCTTTGTCGTGAGATTTCGCAGTTCCTCCCACTAGAAGCAGAGTCCCCAGATGTAGACTTGGCCAGTGTTACAAGCTTGAAATGACGGCATGTCAGTTCTGAGGCACATTTCCCCTTGCTCTACTGTGCCTCTGTCAACACCAAGAGGAGCTACAGCCAATGCCTCCTTACCCAGGGTGAGCTACTCAACGGTGCTAAGCCTCGGTTTCCTCACCTGTGAAGTGGGGACAATAAGGCAATTACCCTGTCTTGCAAGGTGAATGAACTGAAATAGTATCTGTTAGGCAGGGGTCCTCAAACTACGGGCCCGCGGGCCACATGCAAATACAAATATTGTATTTGTTCCCGTTTTGTTTTTTTACTTCAAAATAAGATATGTGCAGTGTGCATAGGAATTTGTTCATAGTTTTTTTTTAAACTATAGTCCGGCCCTCCAACGGTCTGAGGGACAGTGAACTGGCCCCCTGTTTAAAAAGTTTGAGGACCCCTGCTGTTAAGTCTATGATGCATAGCAGGAACACTGTCCCTGTTCTTCAAATCTCTGCGAGCCGGGCCTCCTCGGAGCTTGGTCATCATGTGGCACTCGGGAGAGAATTCACAGCTGCGAGCTGGAGGAGAGCCCAGCGATCAGCTTATCCAATCTAGTTCTGTTCTGTCCCACATGCAAGTACTGAAAACTATATGACTAGTAGGGACACAGTCTTTTTAAAAATATATATATATTTATTGATTTCAGAGAGGAATGGAGAGAAAGAGAGAGAGAGAAACATCAATGATGAGAGAGAATCATTGATCGGCTGCCTCCTGCATGCCCCCTACTGGAGATCAAGCCCACAACCTGGACATGTGCCCTTGACTGGAATCGAACCTGGGACCCTTCAGTCCGCAGACCGACGCTCTATCCACTGAGCCAAATCAGCTAGGGCAAGGGACACTCTTTAATGGGTGAGTAGAAAAGGGCAACTAATGAAAATCAGATTATTTCAGATTTTTATTGGGATCTTGTTAGTGTCACATTAGCCCATGGAGCCCCAAAAGCATTTTCAAGGACACTCAGGAGGAGTGGGCTTGCATTGTGCCCTCTGCTCAGTCTAAGGCTCATCTTCTACTCGGCAGGGCAGCTGTTTCAATGATTTGGGAAAGAGTTGGTGCCTGAGAATATTTAAATTGTCACGGATTT